CTTTCCCTTTTGTTTACTGCTCCCTGTCACCAACTTGGAAGAGAATGTTGATGAGGGTATAGCAGACAGAATATATTCTTTCATGGGAGGGAAGAAATGGGAGTTGGGCAGTCTTCCGAGGCAAGGAAGTGACTTGCTCGTTGCCAGCTGATGGTGTCCCTCTCCTCCTGCCTTTCAGCCTCTGAAGATGCACTGCAGGGACTGTGCCCTGGTGACCAGCTCCGGGCATCTCCTGCGCAGCCGGCGAGGCCCCCAGATTGACCAGACGGAGTGCGTCATCCGCATGAATGACGCCCCTACGCGGGGCTATGGGCGCGACGTGGGCAATCGCACCAGCCTGAGGGTCATCGCACATTCCAGCATCCAGAGGATCCTCCGCAACCGCCACGACCTGCTCAACGTGAGCCAGGGCACCGTGTTCATCTTCTGGGGCCCCAGCAGCTATATGCGGCGTGACGGCAAGGGCCGGGTGTACAACAACCTGCAGCTCCTGAGCCAGGTGCTGCCTCGGCTGAAGGCCTTCATGATCACACGCCGCAAGATGCTGCAGTTTGATGAGCTTTTCAAGCAGGAGACTGGCAAAGACAGGTACGGAGGTGCAGGGTGGCAGGGGCACAGGGGAGGGTGGAGAAATGTCGTAGCTGGCTGATTCGCCAAAAGCAAAGCTTTTGCCAAGGGGTTTGCTGTGGCCCCACTGCTCGTGCCATTGGCAGAGTTCATGTGTAGAGTCCTCCTGGAATCTGGGCTGCTCCAGTTGAATACATAAGACAAAGTGAAATGAAGCACTGAGACACTTCCATGGGCAATTCAGGGACAAATCCCTACTTTAGAAGAAGAGGCTACACAGCTGCTGGATGACACTGGTAATAAGTGAAAGGTAATAATAGCTTTATTGCATTTCATTTTATTTGTGTAAACACTAACCAAAGGCAACCATTTATTCACTCGACCGATATTTATTAAATAACTACTACTTTAAGCGCCAGGCACCAGGGATACAGTGAAAAACAAGACAGATCTAGACCCTGCCCTCCTGGAATATAAAGCCTACAGGGTGGCAGTGTGCTCAGCATCGTGGGCAGGAAACTGGTTCTGTGACGTGTAGGACAGAAATCCTGCCATAGTCAAATTGTTCCAAATTGTTAGTTACAACTCAATGATGGGACATGAAATCAACATAGTGGGTCACTGCAAGATTTTTTTAAAAAGTCATAGAACGGAATAGAACAGACAATATCAACATTCATCTCCCATAGTAAATAAGGCAAAGTATGATCTCATGAAATAATATGTACTTCAGTTTTTACATATGAATATACATATATAGAGAAGGGTTTTTTTTTGATGTGCTAAAAATGTTCTGTAATTAGATAGTGATAATGATTGCACAGCCCCATGATATACTAAAAACCGCTGAATTATACACTTTAGAAAATAAAATTAAATTAAAATCATGCACACACATATGTATATATGCCCAGTCATGAAGTAAAATGTATTTCTCACTATAGGTTGAACTATTTTGAAGAGCACTGGTCTAGGAGATGAGGGAATGAGAGAAAGCCTTTCTCAAAAAGGTATATTTAATCTGTAATTTAATCTGAGACCTAAGCCACTGTGTATTTATTCAGGTAAAGGAGAACCAGGGAATGGGAGAGAGAAACCTCCTTGTGAGTACAAGGGATCACAGGTAGGAGAATGTGCAGTGGATTGGAGAAAAGTCTCCTATGGCTGTGGTCAGGAGGGCAGTGGGGGTGTGTGGCCCAAGATGAGGCAGAGATGCAGACTCATAAACTGGCCAGATCTAGACAAAGAAAAGGACAGTCAGGTATCGAAAGGAGCAGTGCAGTGTATTCCAAACACACAGCTCTAGGTTGGAATTCTTACCCTGTCCCTCACAAGTTGTGTGGCCTTGGGTATATTACCTAATCTTTCAGTGACCTCATGTGTGAAAAGGGCATAGTGACTAGGACTCATAGGACTGGTCTAATGATTACATTTCCTTGTTTCCTTAATTCTAAAACATGTACTTTTATAATTGACATACTTTTAATGATATAATTTACCACCCTCCCTTACAACAACTGTCCATGAGTTGTTTTCTTATTTTACAACTAAAGAAATATCATAAGTGAAATAAAGACTATAAAGTACTAAATGCATTGTTTGGTAAGTTTAGGCAGCTCGTTATTGGAGAACAGAATCTTAAAGAAAGACCAAAGCCCAATGTCCCCAAACTCTTTGCTTGGAAGAGCTTTCTTTTTAAGTCCTAGAAGCCTTACGACCATTGACGGCTGGGCCAGGCAGGAGTGGGCATGACATCTAGCGAGTGAGGAAAGGGGGAGCTGGCTGCTGGTGCTGTAGCCTCCTTCCCTGGAGGCACAGGGGACCTCGCGGTCAGCTCAGCCAGTAGATTACATAGGGGATCCTGGTTCTTATTACAAAGTGCCATGAAATCCAGTCATTTATTGCCCTTTAATAAACACAAATAAGAGAGACTGTCACTCAAGAATGAGTTATTTAACCAAGAGAGCATTTTATAAAGGAAGAAGAAAGAGGGGAATTATTTAGTTTTACTTTTGACTGGTTGGAAAACCCAAAATAAGTAGACACACTCTCTTCAACAGAAAACACTTCTCTCATTTTAGCCAAATGTTGAGAGGTTTTTCTAAATTTAAGTATTCCTGAAACACTGCTTCAGTGTTAGCTATTTAAGGTAAATACACGTTGCTCTGAATCTTCTTAAGAAATTATTTTAAATTGGAAACTTAGAGACTAGTCATTCCACCTTTTGTTCACTTAGATCTTTAAGGAAAAATCTCACACTGAGACCAATCCCCCTCACTAAATTTCTTAAATTTTGACCAGTGGAACCCTTTTACTCAATAGCTCTGTCTCCCTCTGGTGAGCCCAGCTAGTAAGGAGGGAACCAAATCTTTGTAGGTCGTGTACTGGGTCTCACATGTGCAGACATCCATCTACACGAGTCCACATAGTCCCTACTTAAGGAAATCACACTTATGGATTTGTAGAGTGCCAAAGTATATTGTCACTTTTAGGATCTTTGTGTCTCTTACCTTTAAGAAATTATCTTAAAGAAGCTAACGTTGTATTGACTTGATATTCTCGTGTGTCCATATTCTTAACCTGCAACCTACTCCAAGCTGAAAGAATTAAGTCAGAAACAGCTCTCCTTTGGAGTCCAACAATATGAGTGCTTTTCTTGAAACTCAACAAAAATGTAGCATGTACTGAATATACATCTACATCTCATGATCAGGACATTCACATCAGGCTAATATTTTAAAGAAATAGCATAATTCAATAGATTCTGGTTTATAGAAGTTTCACCCTACTTAAAAGCAGAGGGTAAAAATGGCTCAGGAACAATCTACAATTAAGAAGCATGACAAATGACATAGATGGCCAAGTGGTATTCTTTGACATTAGAAAGTAACTGTACTTGAAAATAACTTTATAATTGAATAAGGGTACATTAGGAAAATATGATTCAGAACCAATATTATAGTAATTAGATAAAGGAAGCATAAATGAAATAACTGCAGGAAGAATATTTCCATAGAGATTATAAATGAGATTCTGGTGGAGCAGAAAGGCCTTTAATTGTAATTTAGTGTTCACTATAGAATTATCAGCTCAGTGTGTTACTTCATCATATAAAAGAATATCTGATAATTTTCCCTAATAAGCACATGACAGCTCTTCATATTCCTTTATTACAGCTGATTAAGTGTAAAAACAATAGATATTCCTTTGTTGGAAAAGAGTTCAAATCTTTTTAAGAAAGACAGCACAAAGCGTTGCATTTCTATAGCATGTGATCCCAAAAGACTATTATTTAGAAAGTCTGGGGAATTTTAAGTGACGTTTTAAAGAACTCTTCATTTTAGTACCTTTAGTCTTCCACTTTGTATTCTTCCCATTTTTACCCATGAAACCTTTTTCTGTAGAGTCACATCCTCCTGCATTTCAGGCTGCAGCTTGTGATCTCTACTATATCACACAAAAGAAAGCCAAAATTATGGGGGAGTTCCTGACAGTGGGAAAGCCTTTTTGGTGTTTCTGACAACTATAAAAGCACAGGGACACAGGCGTGATTTCCTGATCAAGAATCTGGGTGTATATGTGAGCCGTCATTCTCTTCCTGGGCTCTACATCCCAGTTATTCACTCACCCTGTGTAAGTCTAGAACAACTGGCCATCATATAGTCTCAGCCACATAGGTAAGGACAGGCTATAATTTGAGAAAGGTACTTCATTCCCTTACCCTTCCCCACTCAGTCATTTCTGCTCCATCCTACCTCCTTCATTCTCAAAGGTCTTATGAATATATAATCCTGGTAGGAAGAAAAGGGGGTTGTTAATGTCTATGTAAGCCAGAGGTTCCAGGATTCTGTAATTACCATCCTGACTACTGATGATGGCTCCAACACAAGAGACAGTAGCAGAGTATAGGAAGGATATCAAAGTCTTCGTGGGTGCCAAAAAGCACTGAAAGGGATGGCTGAATTATTTACTTCATTTGCTCCAAACTAACTACCAAGAAAGGAGGAAGGGATCTCAACGTAGCACTATAACAGACTAGATACTCTTTATGGTGTTCTCTCATTTAGTCTCAAAAGAGCCCAGGATGATGGAGCTTCCCATGCCTACTTTATAGATAGGAAATCAAGTCTCAAAGACCAGCAAAACCTGCCTCAGGTCATTCAGCTAGTAAGTGATAGAAACTGGTAAGATGCAAGCCCATGGTATTCCCATCTTTAAGAGCTTTTAAATGTACTTTCTGGGCTATTATTGGAATGGAAAAAGAAAATGAGTAAAGGGATTAAGCACTAGAAAGTTGAAGCAGTAAACTCAGGAATGACTAAATCACTCATTCCTGTCAGGTACTTGACAAAACAAAATGCCTCTTTTTTCTTTTTTCTTTTTCTTTTGTTTCATATGTGAAATGGAAATAATGCAAACTGCTTAACAAAAATTCTTCCTTCTCAAAGAAGAGTGCTATACAGTGCAAGTAGAAAAGCTTTTCTGCAGTCCTGTCATTTACACTGCATATGTTTCTATGGCTAGGCAAAGTCAGACAGTCTGACTTGGGGGGTAGGCGTTTGAAACTGGCTAATGAGGAATGCCATAAGCACTGAAAAAAAAAGAAACGTAAAAGCACAATCCCCAAAGAATTGAATTAATATTCACAGCAGCATTGCATAGTTGTGGTCAAATTAGACCTTGACGTTGTGTCGCCACAGTTATCCTTAGGCTTGTACGTGGTTGGACCTCAATACAGATATTTGAATGGGTAAATGAAGAAATGTTGGAAGGCACAGATTCATTTCTGAAATTTTGTCAATTTTGGTCTTCTAATAAAAATTTTCAGGCCTCTAAATGTTCTGAGGTAAAATAAAGCAAACGCTCATTTAAACAAAGCATTTCTGTGGTCCTTTTCCTTTGGTCATTAGCCCCTTCTCACATGAATGTACAGCAGGTAACATTGTTATGTTCTCAAATAACATTGTTATGTTCAACATTGCTTCGTTGTAACGTTGATGAAAAAATTGGATTTCTGTCCGGGGCCACTGTCTGTGTGGAGTTCACACGTTCTCTCCATGTCTTTGTGAGTTTTCTCCAGATACACCAGTTTCCTCTCACATCCCAAAGGTGAGCATGTGAGGTGCATTGGCGTGTCTACATTGTCCCAGTCTGAGTGAGTGTGGGTGTGAGTGCGCCCTGTGATGGAAGGGCGTCCTGTCCAAGGTTGGCCCCACATTGTGCCTTTAGCTGCCAGGACAGGATCTGGCCACTTGTGACCCTGAACTGGAATAAATGGGTTGGAAAATAATCATCTTACTTTTTTATTAATCTTTCTTAAATGTATGTATAACTCACATTTATTTCAGTGTTTAATATTAGAAATGTTCTGGATCTTTATTTAGAAGTTTGGTGATGTTTTTATTAACAGAAATATGCCTTAGTAACTTCACTCTTGTTTATATCATTTAGACTATGGTAAAATTGGTTTTGTTAGAAGTCGTTTGTCTTAAAGTGGCAGTTTCCAAGAACCTATCAATGATGTTAAGTGAGGTCTTACTAAACTCCCAAGAAAAGATGTTCAGTCAAGACATTGGTGTTAGTCTAGTTGGAAGTAAGCCTTTACCCTAAGATCATTTGATCTATCGATGGATTGATACATAGTCAGACACATCTGTTTTTTCATATTTAATAAGCTCCTTATTATCCACCCTGCTTGAAGAACAAGGAATAGTTCTAGTTAGTCGAGTATTCTGGTTAATAAAGGGTTGACACAAGTGCATTATCATCTTACAAGAAATTGAGTTGTGGTAATATGCACTTAAACATTAAACATCGATCATCATTTTTGATGATGCAAAAGTCCCTTGAGCATCCTTTAGTGTCACAGATCTGGCATGATGGTGCATCAACATCATTTTTCATTGTACAGTGGAATATAGTGGTGCTGTTGGTGAGAGATAGCTATCTGGTAAAGTTCTAGCTATATCTCACATAGAGTGGAGGGGTGGGGAAGGAGGAGGAAGAGGAGGAAGGAAGAGAGAAAGAGAGAGAGAGATTAGTCAGCCTCTCTCCAGAAATGATTTAAGAAGGTAGTTGGGTACAATGATTATTTTACCAGCTTGCAAACTTAATTATTGTTCCTTCCAGGAAGATCTCCAACACTTGGCTCAGCACTGGCTGGTTCACAATGACGATTGCACTGGAGCTGTGTGACAGGATCAATGTTTATGGCATGGTGCCCCCAGACTTCTGCAGGTAGGATATATTCTACAAGTGTAATTCATCAGCAGTGTTGTGCAGCGTTTATAAATATCTGATTCCAAATGTCAACCACAAAATATGTCTGTCTTCTTGAAGCAATTAATTAACATGTCCCAAGTTCTGGTTCTAGAAACAACAAACAGCATTTAATTGTGTGATATAAAATATTGAAAGTTTTTGTTTGTGCTGCTGGAGAATTAATCCATCCTGTGGGCTTCATTTATCCTCTGAATATTTATCAACCAAAAGTAATGCAATAATTGGCATAATATTAACAGTGAACAAGCATTAAGAAATATTAGTTTTATTCTCATTTGAAAGGAATGTGGTAATTTTTAATGAATTAAAGAGGGCAATTTCTTTGACAGTAATGCCTGTTTTCTAAAATTAAAATATTCCTTTGAGCCTCTTTCTCTCACTATATCAGTAGCCTTGGTTTATGCTTCTAAGGCCAAAGCACAGGCATAATTATTTTGATGTATTGCTTTAAAGGGAACAGATACACATTTCTGTTACTACCTTAAGTTACCTTCTGGCATGTGCCCAGGGAGAGCTTGGTGTGTACTAACAAATGCACTGGTTTGTGGAAGCCCTATTGAAAACTCGCATGTAATTTCTTCGTGATGCCTATACATTCAGAAAGTACCTGAGTTCAGGAATGTCTGATGGGCCGCATGTGACCTCAATCCTGATCTTCAAATGGCAAAACCTAAGGTGGCGTTATTTTAAGCTTGCTCATTAAAATTTATGCTTGCATTATGTTTAAAACCTAACAACTTCTCAAAGGCCATGGACCTTTAGGCAAAATCTGCAATTTGGAGGTTTAAAGCAAGGATAAGAAGGATATTTAATCATGCTGTTACCACTTGGCCACTTTTCTCCCACCTTTTTTAATCCAAAGGCCAAATACAGCAGCAATAGTAGTTTATATGTAAGAGTCAGGTCAGAGAGGAGAAAAGGAAAGGTATGGACAGAGCAGGATTTTGATATGTACGGCCTGGACTCACTTGTTGAGTCAACCAGAATGTAAGCTCCCCAAAAGCAGAGAGTTTTGAGTGTTTGGTGCACTATTTGAGCTCTAGTGCAAGGATAGTAGAATTTTACCGTCCTGGCACATAGCAGATGGTCTATAAATATCGAATGAATGAATGGCCCTGTCCTCTGCTCTCTCTCTAGTGCTGTAGTAAAAAGGTGTTGCTATGGGTGAAAATAACCATCTCTGCCTCTCAGAAGTTCTTGACTTTGAGAAAATTAGTTGACCTCACTGAACCTTAGTGACCTTGGGAAAGTTGCTTAATGACTGTCTCAGAAGCCTGAGCTTCCATATCTATATGATGATGATGACAATAATACTTACCTCTAGGGTTTATATGATAGTTCCATGAAGTAATAGATGAGGAGTGCTTGGCACAGCCCTGGTATAAGTTACGCATGCACAAATCTACCAGGTGAAGGGACTTACTGATCTGCCACCAGATAGTCCAACACCTATCAGCACATGTTAAAGAGATGTCTAAAGAGCACTAAGGAATGGTGCTCCGTGGTGAGGAGGCCTTGTTGCTGGGAAGAGGAGGACATGCGTGGCCTCCTATATGAAGTAGATCCCATTCCTCTTCACTATGGAGAATTGGCTTCATGTGGCCTCCAGCAGCTGGCAGGACATCATATGGGGCTGCTCACTGTGTGCCTACCCCTTCCATTGCTTCCTTCAAGTGCCCAGTTCCTCATGAGAATAGAGTTGGCCACAAGGCACCAGATTTCAGCAAGCAAAAAAGAGTCAACTGTTCATTTTTGGTAAATTAATCTTTTTGGAACTTAAGGCACAATTGATACCCTCAAAAAAAAGGTCTGTTACTAAATTAATCAGGGAGGTTGTCATTCACTCAACCAACTTATACTGGGCACTGGGGATGTCATCAAAGGTGAATGAGACAGTCTTTGCCTCAGTCGCCTGAGTGTCACAAATCTGACTCTGTCACTTAAACCCCTTGGTCACTCCCAAAAGCTTTTAGAAAAGAGTTCACACTCCCTAGCTTAGCACACAAAAGCCCTTCAGGGGTCCACTTTAGTCTCATCTTCTCTGCTCACACAAACTTATTTTAGCCATTGAAAAACTTACAGAGGGACTCGCCCTGTAGATACCTGTCCCTTCGCCCTCAGCTTGGAATGACTATCCCTTCCTTCTTAACACGGTGATTACTACTAGTATTTTACTAAGAATATCGATGGTTGATATTTTTTCTGCACATACCATATGCCGGGCCTGCACTCAGTATGAATACATGTGCCGGTTCCGTGAAACTTTATGACAATCCCATGAGGTGAACATTATTATTATCATCATTTTACATAGGAAGCTTAATGACATGAAACAGCTGGCCAAGGTTGAAGAGCAGAGCTAGGGTTTGAATTCAGATCTGGAGGGCTCAAGAGCCAAAACTCCTAATCCCTCACTTCACTGTTTCACAGGCAGCAGGTCTTCCTCCTCCAAGCCTTCTCTGACCTCCTGTCTGAGTCAGACCCTACCTGTGCCCCTACTGGTCCCTGTGTGAATTCCATCCCTGCCCCCATGTCACTGATTGATTTTTCCATCTCTTCCATTTGCCTGTAGACTCCTTAAGAGGAAGAGTTGTGTCTCAATCGACATTTATATTTTTAGCACTTGTCATTGTGTCTAGCACATACTATGTATTCAGTATTGATGCACTCAATGAATAAATAAACTTTAAAAGCCTTTCTTTCCTTGGCCATGTTTAAGAGACTGATTCTAAACTTATTTTAAGACCAAAAGGATCAGGTGAATGAAAAGTGTAACCAGCAAATGGCAAATTCAGATTTTGAGAATTCTCAGAAGTCAGTGGTGGCCGCTTGTTTCATTCTCCATCAGGGCTAGCACAGGGTCCTAAAAGAGGTGCTCAGGCATCAGACATCAGTCTCCATCCTGCCTTCATCACCAGACTCCAGGTTCATTGGTGTTCAGAAAGCTGGAGAAAATTAGTCCCATGTTGCATCCGAGACAGCATCTAGTATATTATGTAGACAGTAGACCCTTAAATTATGCCATATACATACGGGAAACCAAATCCATTTTCTCTAGGTGGACTATAAATTGCAGTGAAAAGATCTGTTATCATTGCTTACCAAACTAAATTATGGTGAGTATTTTTAATCTCATTTCCCATTGTAAATTATTGCAACAATAATGGGCCACGCATTTAAACTCTATCTAATAATCTTTTTTTCTGGTCATACTTAATACATTACCAAGTTTACAACTCTTAGTTACTCATAATTTCTTGAGTATTAATTAGAGGAGTAATGACTCGGAGTGATCACTGTCATGGAAGTAAATTAATATCTCATCCATAATGTGAAGGACATCTCAAAGGTATCATGAATATCAGAGAGTTGATTCTGCTAGAATTATTAGCTAGTGAACATTAATAAAGCTACTAGCATAAAGGGGAAAGCTTCTACACGGCAACAGTTCACCGTGTGGAATCAGGTGTTTATAGAGCCATAATGTGCCCATGTGGTTCACCTTTTATGAAGTCGTTTTAAAATGTATTGTTGTATTTCCTCCTACATGCTTATTGTTTCTTATTTCTTTGCCATAATTTGGCCAACTCATAACAGCCACTGGGTGTTTTCATTACATCCTTCTCTCTCCCATGGGTGGGCACCATTGGTATCTTATGAGATGATGGCACCACCTGAGGTGCCTGAGTGGTAGGGCATGCGTTCAGGTGACTCACTTTGGTTCTTTGCCCCATGAAAGATAAACAGCTATAGGTTCTTGATGCTCAGTTTGCACCAGGTACACAAGTATTATTCCAACAGATTCCAAGATATGCAGCAGTTTTCCTTCCAAAAGAAGCTCCAAGGACAAGAAATCAAGCAGCAGAATAAAGGTGGCTCAGTGGGTCTCATAGGCTCAAGACAGACATTTAGAAGGGCCTGTTGTAGGAACATTTTCTTCTGAATGCTACATAATATTCTCAAAGACCCCCTGTGCAAGCCAATTTCAGAACAATGTAGACACTTGACAGCTATTGATTCAACTCTATTCCTCAAACATTTCTTGACAGCCTACTATATGCCAGATGCCACACCAAAAATAGACATGTGTTTAGAGAGTGTCTGAGAGCTCTAGAGAAAGGCAAAGGCACCATTCTTTCCTTATAGATAGTCCAGTCCCAAACCCAGAGAGCAGAGTGAACCGAGATTGTACCTGGATGTAGAAGTGTCCTCTCTTGCTTGTTAATATTATGAGACTTCTTTCCAATTGTACAGCTTAACTTTAGAAGATTCAAAAATGGAACATTACCAACTCCTGCTGCCATTAACATTAGTGGACAGGATTGTACATGAACGTGAGGTCTCTGCTTCTCACTCTGACCAGCTGCATACTCCAAGCACGGGGCAACTCTATAGATGGGTGCTTGGAAAAATGCAGCAAGGACAAAGTTCCTCCCAGCCATGTGCTGCCAACTCCAGTGGAAACCTGGAGTGCCATTAGTAAGGAAACGCACCTAGTGGGACAGGAGTTTTTCCAAGACATAGAGCGTCCCTCCTGAGGACAGCTTTGGTACAAAACTGGACCATGACTCTTCAGTTCCTTTATGCATGAGTTTTCTCATCTGTAAAATAAGAGTAATAACATTATCTCTCTCACTGAGGCATTGTGAGGATTAAATAAGTTAGTCTGTGTGAAGTGCTAAGTACTGGGTTTGGGCTGAAAGGGGCAAGTCTTGCACTCATATGGTCCATAAGTGAGGCTGTGCGCTTAAAGCAAGGCACTAGATTTTACCTGGATGTTGCAAGCTCACCTGTCACACAAAATAGTGATAGTCACCTTAGACGCCTGATGGAGAAATAAAGGAGATAATGTAAGTTGAGCACTAAGGCTTAACAGATATTTAACTAAATCAGCCATCTCAAAGCTGGCTGCGTATTAAAATCTCCTAAGGAGCTTTTGGACATTATTATATTTTTAAGTTTTTTTTAATTTTGAAACAATTTTAGACTTACAGAAAAAGTTGCAAAAAATGATACACAGCGTTCCTGTACACTTTTTACCCAGCTGCCACTAATGTTAACATTTTGCATAATTATAGTCTAAATATCAAAATTAACACTGGTACAACACTCTTAACCAAACTATAGACTTTATTCAGATTTTAGTACTTTTCTTACTGATGTCCTTTATCTCCTCAGAACTCAATCTGGGATCCCTTTGCACTTACTTAGAATCTCCTTAGTCTCCTCCAGTCCGTGACAATTCCTCAGTCTTATCTTTCACGACTTTGATGCTTTTGAATAATTCTGGTCATTTTTGTAGGATATATGTCCCTCATTTTGGATTTGTGTGTTTTTTCATGATTAGTTTGAGGTTATGCATTACTGGGAAGGATACCACAGAAGCAATAAGCCCTTCTAGGCCTCTCATATCCAGAGGTACATGATGTCAAAATGTCTTATTACTGGCCAAGTTAACCTATATCACTTAGTTGAGGTGGTGTCTGCTGGATTTACTCATTGTAAAGTTACTATTTTCCCTCTGTTATTTATAAGTATCTTGGGGAAGATACTATACACAAATAACCTCTTTTGCCTCATCTTTATCCCCGCTGATGTTCTATTCATTGGTGCATCTTGCCTACAACAATTACTCTGCTCTTGTAATGGAGATTTTCTATTCCCTCATTCTTTCTAGATTTATTAATTGGAATTCCTCTGTAAGAAAATCCTGTTTCTTCTCCCTCATTTAATTATTCAGTTATTTACTGACATCATCACGAACTCATTTATTTTATTTTGTGGGTTTGATAATCCAGTACTGCCATTATTTATTTTGATACTCAAACCTAAGGCACTTTTTCAAATACCCATGCTTGGAACTCTCTCCAAGTCAATTAAACCAGACTCTATGGAGATGAAACACAGGCAATGGTATTTCTTTAAAGCTCCCTGTGTGCACTAAATGTTAGTTCTTTCACTCTCTGCACCTGCTTCCTTCATAAAGAAAAAAAATCCTTCACATTGTTTTGCAGAATTTGTTCTTGCTCTGGCCCTTGGAGTGCTGATGACAACCTGCAGCCACTGGGGTAACTGGCTCTGTGATTATCATGCCCACCTCTGCTCTCACACCTTCACGCCCTCAGCTTTCCCTGGTCCAAAACAGGAACCTGATGCCAGAACCCTTCCTTTACAATAGTAGCCTCCTGATGTAAAAATTCTGCTGATATTTATTGTTGTTTTCACTGGGCTCAGGTGGAGGAAGAAAAGGCTTTGGCAGCCTTTACAAAATCAGGTTTGAGAAAAGAACTAAGAAATTATGACCTTAAATTGAGAAAGGCTTTCTGAATGGAACAGTGAATTACAGCTGATGGCAGGCTCACAACCAGAGGGCTGTTCCCGCAGATGCTTCAGCTCTACTTTCTCAGTCCCACAAAGCATGTTTCTGCCTTTTGGAAATTTTTTTTTTTGAAATTAATTAATTAATTTTTTTTTATGGTGACATTGGTTAACGAAATCCACTAAGTTTCAGGAGTACAATTCAACAATAAGGGCTTCAGCTCTACTTTCTCAGTCCCACAAAGCATGTTTCTGCCTTTTGGAAATTTTTTTTGAAATTAATTAATTAATTTTTTTTTATGGTGACATTGGTTAACGAAATCCACTAAGTTTCAGGAGTACAATTCAACAATAAGGTATATATACATAGCATTGCGTGTTCACTTCTGGACAAAGTTTTAAAGGATGAAAACAACCTCCACTTATTTGGACACCTTTGTAATCAAGAATTATATTTACCAACTGTGTAAATTTAATTCTCCCTTTAGGTGATCAATACAGAGCCAGATAAGTTTTCATTCAAAGAGATGGTCATCCTGAATAAGGAAATTGATCCTTTAGCATCTTTTAGCTGGTTTACAATTTCCCTCTATCCTAGATGCCAAATCAATTTCATGATTATTTTTAGAAACCTAATTGTTTCTTTAGTCAGACTGATGCCAAGAATATGTCCAAAACTTTGATGAATCAAATTTAAAACTCGATCTGTACTGGCATAAAAGCTTAACCTCAAGTGTACCATGGTCGCATGAATTTGGCACGGTTCCACAAATTATGCCATTTGAATCTGGGAGATTTGTCTCACATGTTTCTATTTCTCTTTGTTTATTCTTTTTTTCATAATAGTTCCATCTTGAATTTTTCCTAGCATGCATTTTCTGTATTGAAATACCTTCTATTAAAATATTTCAATTTCTATGATAAGTAAATAAGTGATCATCTATAATAACTAGACAGCACAGTTTCTAATGTTTTACTGTGGAACATAGAGATACTTTCGAGACAGGCATAATAGAGATGCAAAGTATTAATTTAGCACAGCATCCAACCCAGGCAGGTTTAAATGCTGCATGACGAAAATAAATCTCTCTTTCTGGAAAAACTTTAATCTCAGAGGAGAAGCAGCTCAAAGGTTTATTGTTGTCAGAACCACAGACTCAACACCCCTCTCGATAAAAGACTTCGATCTCTGACCCCAATAAAGTTGCTACTCTAAAAACCATTTATGTATTGATCTCCTCCAAAGAAAACGAATAGGTGTCTAGCAGGTTGAGCATCTTTGGGATGCCAAGTTACTGTACTTAGAATAGAGCCTTAGTGATCAGAGGGGGGCCCCAGTGCATCAGGCGCTAAAAGGCAGTTTGCTGGGATGCCTGAGCCTTTTGAGAGAAGAGCTAAGAAGAGACTAAGAGCATAGTCTCTGCTGCAAGGCCAGTTAGTGAGCGTAGCTCAAAGTAGCAAGTTTTACCTGCTGGGATATCTTCACTGAGCTTATCATTGAGGCTTCAAGACAGAAGAGATGGAGTGGACTGACCTAGATGGAAACCAATCTGAGACAAGAGTTCTTTGGGTTTAAGGAATTTTAGTAAATCTTCAGTAACCTAGGAACAAAGGTACCTGCCCACCCCCCACGTTTATCCTGTGCACACTATCTTGAAGAAATGAGCCAGTGTTCATTATCGGAGGTGGAGATGGGGATACAGAGAAGTGAAAATTTGGAGACTGTCAGGCTACACAGCAGGGTTTGAGGATTTGGTATTTCTGGATACATTGTCTGTCTAGAGCAACAAGAGAAAACCGGTGGCATCGTGCCTGCTAACTTCTTTCTCTCCTGTGGAATCAAACTAAGATCATCAACTTTCCATATTTGGAGGAGAATTGTCTTTAGAGGCTTGCTGTGTAACTGCTAACTCCATGTAAATTTCTTTGAACAACAGAAATTCAAAAATTATTTATTGAGCACCTACTAGGAACAAGACAAAGGCCGGCTGTCATGAAAAGACAAGGAGCAAAGAAACAACAACAGCAGTTTCAGAGAGTGATTGATGCTATAAAAATAGATTTGAGTGAGAGGGAGTGAAGGGAGCAGACATCAGCTAAAATCTCTCTAAGGAGGATGCATTTGAGATCCCCAAAGGTGAGAAGAATGAACTGGTGAGAGAGTGTTAGAGCCAGATGACTGCCTTTGAGTGCAAAGACCTCAAGGTAGGGATGAGCTTGGAGATGACAACCAGAAAGGCCAGTAAGGCTGAAGCATAGAGGACAAAGCTGGGTGGGTTAGGAGAAGGCTCTGGAGAGGGGTCAGATCACATAACACCCTGTAGGCCATGCTCTCAGTATAATTGGGCGTCTCTGAAGGATTTGAGAGTAGAAATGGTGAAGAAGAATGATTTGTTTTTGTTTTGTAAATATCTCTAGAGCCGCTTGTGGTAAATAGACTGTATGGGGGCAAGAGTAGAAATAAGAACAATAGTTGGCTTTAGAAATATGAATCCCAAAAGCCTGAACGTCCTACAGCACACTTTTAATCTCTCTGTTTGGTAATGGCATTCATTGCACTTATTCATAACCTCAAAACCCCTCCACTTGCTTATTATTTGTTTGATGGAAAAAATATTTGTTGAAATTTATTTAAATTGAAAATATGAGTTGTGTTTATCAGCTTTTTAAAGATAACACTTTACCTCCTCAGTCAAAGGATTTTTTTTTTTTTCTGCGTTAATCAGTTATCTCATTTCCTCCTACAGGGATCCCAATCATCCTTCGGTACCTTATCATTATTATGAACCTTTTGGACCAGATGAATGTACAATGTACCTCTCCCATGAGCGAGGACGGAAGGGTAGTCACCACCGCTTTATCACAGAGAAACGAGTCTTTAAGAACTGGGCACGGACATTCAATATTCACTTTTTTCAACCAGACTGGAAACCAGAACCACTTGCTGTAAGTCATCCTGAGAATAAACCTGTACTCTGAGGAACGAGCATGCCAGACCAAATCAGACAACGAGCTGCTAAACTCCCTGGGCCATCAGACACAAAAGAGGAACAGAACCTGTAGCAGGAAATAGCCTCACTCCTCAAGAAGTACTATGTACAGATGCCCATAAGACATAACTACAAAGCAGTGCAGTTAGTTGGCTGATAGGGAGAATTCTAGAATTAACGTATCTTAATGAATGTTGTCTCATTCAAAAGGGGTTATCTTCGGAATTGAGTACTCATTTCAGCGATGCTGCTGTGACTAAAAACATTTTGGATCTCTTTAAGTGTTGCCTTCGGAAGAGAAACATGAGCAACTCAACAATATTAGTTGTATATTCCTTTATAGAAATACCATGTCAAAAGACACTTTTCTATCAAGTCGTATCCTAACCTGACCTATAACCTTTGTCACCTGTTGAACTCTGTGTGTGTGGTTTGTAAAACGCAGCCTGAAAGTGTGGACATTGTTTCTAAAGAGCACATCTCCACCGACTTTCATAAAGCAAATGCCCGGTATTTATTTATTGACAGTTTTGTAGTGTACTCTAGGCCAGTATTTTTATAGATTATTATGTGGTAATTTATCTTTATATTTATTTAGGTAATTTATTCCAACTCCTGGATCCCAAATGATGGTCAGAAAAGGCCTAGCATTGGGTTGATGAGTTACTGTGTCCACCATGCTCATTGGTAGCATGCAGTTGGTATTTAGCTTGAAAATGTTGTCTTGCATTTTTTAAACCCTTAGGCTTCAAGAAAAGCTGTGACATTTTCCAAGGTGCAGAAATGCTCCAAATGACAAAACTGAAAACCAAAAACTGTGTCATTAACACAAAAAGATACTAACAAGAGAAACTTAAAGATAGTTTTCTTTAGTAATAATTTATGTAGGTCATTTCACTTAAGCCCTAGTTTCCTATTCCACAGAATGATGTGAACTTCTCGTTGAACCCTTTGAGGACTTTGCACTTGGAATGATGGGGCTCCTACAGTAGTAGCAGGAGCCTTTTTTAGGGGGCCTTTTATATTCCCCTACAACCTAACTTTCTTTTGTGGTTAAAACATAGTTTCTCCTTGGTCCTCATTAGCTAAAATCTACTCCCTGCTTTTCTGGAGCTTTTTGCACCAAAAGAGGGGTTGAGGGGGAGAAGAGAAGGAGAGAGGAAAGGAGGGAGGCAGGGCTGGAGGGAGGGAGAGAGAGGGGAGTGGGGAGAAAGGGTAAGGGAGGGAAGAGGGAGGAGAGAGAGCAGGAGGGAGAGAAAGAAAGAGAGAGAGAGAGAGAGAGAGAGAGAGAGAGAGAGAGAGAGAGAGAGAGAGGAAGAAGAGAGAGAGAGAAGAGAACAAACATTGCCATTCCCTGGTCTAGGGGAGTATAAGAATTTATTTTATTCAGAGCCAAGATCAGTTGGTATGAAAGATTTTCATTTAAGCAAACAATATTGTTCAAAAATCGTCTTTTAAAAATACAGCAGTGTTTTTTTTTTACACATGGCTTAGGAAGCACTAGTTTTTCTAATGCCAAATTTGATGGCACCAGCAAATATGTCATATAGAGACTGACGTTCTTTTGCAGAACATGACCTGGCTTGTGATTAAAGAAGTTTTCTCACATTACCACTTTTTTCCCCTGTTCTTAATTAGTACTAAGATTCCATTCCTTTGCACTAACTGGTACTGTTAATTATATGGAGTACTATTATTGAGATGAAAACAGTCTAGATATTTACATACAAAAACAAAGTTGGATAATCATGGTGTGGCTTGAGCTGTTAAAAGCCAGTACAATTGAAATGTCTGTCCAAAATACACTGGAATGTGTTCTTTAAATTTTCTCGTAGCTTGTAAAAAGAATTTTATTCTAGTACAGTCTCTTCTGCAGCATGGACTCTGAATACACAGTACTTTATGAATGTATGAAAAGTGTATGAATTTTATATAATTGATTCATAGGCCACCCTTACCATAACTTAAAGAGATTGTTATTCAGATGTAAGTAGCGCCTTTAACTACTTTTATTTTTATGGATAATTGGGAAGGCATACTTGGGAAATGCAAAAAGGTAATCATATTACCTAATCTACTAATATCTCAAATGTCTGTGTTATCTTCAACTTTTAGGATTCATTTGTTTGTTTTTAAAAGACCTTGTGATAGCTCCATCTTTTTTGTAACTTCTCCCTCTCAAATACTCAAAAGAGTGAAAAGCAATGAAATTCTGAAATTTCTGGCTTCACTGGAAAATATTTTAAATATATATGTAGCTAGGATATGTGAGTATGTGTTTATATTTTTTAAAACATGGTATAAATAAATGTAAGAAATTATCGCTTAGGCAGTGGTTTTATTACAGCATTTCAAGAAAATGCCTAGAATTCTGATAGATCATGCTGATAGACCTGGTTGTGGGCAATTGAGTTCTTATATCACCACTATTTCATAACTATCAATCTTAACACCATTCAACACCATTAAACATCAACTCTGATATAAAAGGCGACTACAAAACCATGTTTACAGACTTCAGCACTTTCAATATCTGATTGTGTTTGAAGCCTAAGTCATATTTGTTATGTTACATACCTTTTTCTTCTCTCCCCAGCTGTGTCATCAGCTTCCTCCTAGCTTTAAGACCACAGTAACACAAAGCCACAGCTAGACGATCCATGGCGTCTGTTATTTCAACAAGAACATTTGGTAGAGGCCATTACAATAGATAGCCATTATGGGCAAAGATACAAGAATTCACAAACAAAATCGATCACTTCAAATGGCCCATAAAAGAGGAATCTTGCATTTAATATTCTACAGTAAATATTTGCCCAAGAAAGCGTGCATTAAAAGAACATTAGGGGGTGAACATTCAGCGTGCTGTGTGGGGACTTCATTGTGTGATTTCCATTACAGTTAATGGGTGTTGGCTAACTAAGTCCCGTTGCTTCACTAACCGTGGGATGTGCTCCTAAGGGCTAGGCATAAAACCGGAGCAATTCAGGAACGTCCTAAGATTTCAGAGTTAGAGCTTTTCTTCAAAAAATAAATGAAAGCAAAGCATAAAGGGCTGTCCCTGAAAGAGAAATTTATGAGTGGCCTCTTGGAATCCTTAGGCTACTACTATATATCTATGTCAGATCCCAAACAACCCCTCTCAAGTCAGAGTACCTTTTGTTTTCTGAAATTCTATTACTCATCTTTTTGAATTACACTTACATGGAAGAATATAATCTCATTTTTTGAAATCAAAACCTCCCTCAAAGATTAAAAATGTTGATTTGGAAGCTAAGTGAATGTTAGGTAAAAGTGGAAGGGAAAAGCTGAAATTCTGTTAGGATTAAGACAGTGTTACTTAAATGCATATGTACCTATTTATAATAGACCCAAATATTTGCCCTTATGTAGGAGAGACCTTGTTTCAGAAATATCCTCTGGATTCCACTGGGGCCGTGATTCAGATTGTCAAATAGACCTACTGTAAGAAAAAGACCTATGTCTCTATTCTCTCTCTCTGTAATATTAGGTGATGTTAACACGCCTTCACATGTCATGTCCGACCCAATCACTTCTTCCATCCTCACTGCTTCTTTCTCGAAACTCATTTTGTCTTTTTGCTATCAGTCCCTCCTGATTGTCTTTTTTTGTCTACAGTGTGCTCTTAAACCAGCAGTCTTCGGGGGCTGTTAAGGTCTCCCTTGTAGGTTTTTAAACTAGAGATCTATCTGGGGAACTTAGAGACCTACATCTGGCTACAGGACAAGATACTGTAGAAATATCACCCTGGTTTCCCCAATGCTGAAGTAAGAGAGAGGGGAGGAGACATTGACTTTCGATGCTAAAACCAGGATAGTCCCAGGCAAACTGGGATAGTGGATCACCCTATCAAAATGCCACCTCCAAAAGAACTGTAATATTAAGAGTTTGGAGGAAAAAGTGAACTAGTTGCCTAGGTTCTAGCACATGAAAAATGATAATTTGGAATGGAAAGAGCTGAGATAGTGTCTACAGGCTTAAAAATGAACAGGAGTAACCTCTCTATTCTAGTTCACTTGCCTCCACCTACTCAGGGTATTGAGCCACCATAGAAATTCCAAAAACAAAAAAAAGGCTGCGCTCCTGTTTTTTTCTTACTCAGTGCCCTAATGTTATATACTACCCTGGGGGTGTCCTTTGTCTTTTTATGTATGTGTCCTGTTAATCTAATTGGATTGTAAGCTCTTTGAGAGCAGGGACTATTTCTCCTTTTCTTTGTAACCCCATGCCCAGTACAGTGCCTTACACACAGTAGGCACTCAATAAATGTTTGTTGTTCATGATAACCTCCTAATGGTGACCTACTGGATTTCCGGTTGATATATGTTCTTTTGTTTAAGAGGTACAGGAGACAGAATAGGTGACAAAATAGTTAAATTTTAAGTGAGTGTTTATAGGGGCAGTCCTTAAATTTATAATATTTTTAATCAGCTGAGCTGACCTAAATTTGGGCAGGATAATGTTGCTGAAGTCGTTAGGTTTGCAAATGCTGGCTGTTTTGAACACACAGACAAAGTGAGGTTCAGCAAGCTTTGTGGGCCTCGCTGTTAGTGAGCTGCTCATAGCACAAATTAAATTTAATATTGACAAATGCTATACCATATGCAGAAAGGAGAAAGGCAGCTTGGGCTCTGACTCCTGTGGTTCAACTACAAAAAGGAAACTAAAATGAGATGAGTTATAGCCTGCCTGAAACTTGACAGCTCCAAACACTACAAGTATTTCAACTGGGGGATACAGAGGATCTATAACAATTAAGCATACGTTTATTTTAAATACAAAATGAAACAAACAGCAACAACAGAAACCCTTTTGTTTGTCATGAAGCAGATCCAAAATGGTTTTATCTCTACCAGAATGTGAGGGGAAAGAACACTTGGGAAAGGTGTTCTCAAGGGGAGCGTCCTATGCTCCTAAGTCACCATCTGGCCAGCACCTGGTGTGCAATTACCTCCTGGTTACAGGATAGGGCAAGGTGGCATAAAGTCATTAAAAGGGAGTTAGCTGCCAATGATTGCCTCTACAAGGGACCATAGTCATTACTTTCTTGAGCATGGAATTTCTTTTTTTCATTGTCTACCCTTCTGCATACTTATTTAATTGTGTAATCTCGATTTCATTTTTTTAAATGTAGGAAAAGCACTGGAAGACACTACATGAAACAGAAGAACGCTTATTTCTGAATGGACAGGATTATAGATCTTCCCACATTTTCAAAAATTTTATTATTATCACATAATGTTATCTCACAAACTATTAAGACAAACATTAGAATAGAATTTCAAATGGAATCCCAATTGGGATGTTAGGAAAAAACTAGTATATGCCATATCTAAGTAGACTTAAAAGAGTGTCTTTGCTCACCATGTAAACCATCTTAAGGGTTAGCATCTTTAGTTCTTTACCAACTACTTTAATTTCAAAACCAAATATAGGAAATCCATGAGATCGAATCAAAATCTTTCAATCATATTTTATCTACTGAATATCTTCTGGGTGCTTTGCACAATGTCATTTTGTTCTTTGTGTATTATTTCACCGTAACCTTATTATTCATTGTCCAAATAAGCGCACAGAGACTAAGGGAGTTTGTGTATCTGGCCCCCAGGTTTAATGAACATGAGGCTGGACTCATGGCTCGTCAGGCGCTATCCTAAGTGTTTTACATGTATAAATGCATTTAATCTTCACGATAATCCCAATAAATACATAGGTTCTTTTATTATTCTCCTTTCATATGTGTGAAAACTGAGATACAGGGCACAAGTTACCTTTGGTAACTTTCCAAGGTCAGGCATCTAGTAAGTGAGAAAGTCAGGTTAGAAGCCACAAAGTCTGTCTCCAAAATCTGCCCTCAGTCACCATGTACCTCCTGGCAGAAATTTGACCCTACAGGAAGCAATTTCCATTAGAATATTTATCATATTCTATCATATCAGATTTATAGTATATGTAATATTTAATATATACCAAATAATAAGTGACAAATATATAAATTATGAAACAAAGATAAGGAGAATATTACCACTAGCCTTGAAGCAACCTGAGAGTTTCTTCTATTGTCCAGGATTTTCTATTTACCATTTTCTTGCTTTTAAATAGTTTTA